ATACGAAATGTCGCAATGTTGAGTCGAAAGACTGATAATTTGTTTACCGAGCCGCCGTCTTAGCCTCAGAGACTGACAACAAAACGTAGCCAATTAACTGCAACCGACATAAAATCAAAAAGTAAATAAATCAACAATGAATGGATAAAGTGCCCTCACATTCGACGTAATGCTCGCCTGTTAATAGAGTGCCGTTAATATTTCCTCCGCCTGCGCAATATTGGCCAACATTAGCTCTTGGAAACCAGGTCCATAAACAATTCCCGACTCAGTCAACAACAGCAGCAGCAGCAGCAGCAGCAGCAGCTCAATCGACATCAGTTTTGACAGCCCATCGACAGTTGGCAACAGTTTTCCTTTCTACTTGCAAAACAAAAGTCTGCGGTTGATTTTTTGTCTTTATGCCTCGCTTTTCTTTTCTTCTTTTCTCTGTCTCGCTTTTCTTTTGCATTCTGCGGGCCAGTTTTTCTAGCCGCCTGCAATTATTTGGCAATTTCTTACGTTTTTCAGCTGAAACTGCATTCGATTTTTCTTTCCTTTCATGCACTGGATTATTTTGGTCATTGCCATGTTCTCACATGTTGCCTGTTTCACATTTTCCATTTTCCGTTTTCTATTCTCCCATTTTACTTTTCGTCTGGCTTTGTGCGCATTGTGCTCCTGGTTTTTGCTGTCTATGAAAATATTTACACATGCTCCGACGGGCATTGAAAATACACAATTAAAAGGTTTTTCGAAACTAATTGGTTTCAATTATTTCGGCTTTCCGAGCAGACACCAAAGAGATGCGTCAGATACTTGTTAGGATGATATGATAGCAGATTTCTACTTATTTCGGTTGCAGTGGCTAAGGCTTTTGCATTGCGCGATTTTTCAGTTCATTGAGTTGCAGTTAATTGGCTGAGGCTAAAGACTTTCAAGATTCTTAAGATCTTTGATATGTCTGAGAAAATATTCTGAATTGTTTTGCAAGAAGTTGCTCAATACTAGCTGTAAATTCGCTTTTAGTTATTGTTTATTTCATATCATATTTCCCCAACATTTCAGTGAGTGTAAATCATATGTGAAATAAAGTGCTGAAATGAGCTTCAGCTAGTGTTGTTCTTTCCTCGTTAATCTCACGCCCCATAAATCGACAAAACTGTGGCAATTAACCACAACAAAGCACAAATTATGTCATAAGTATTTTCGTGTTGATGATTTTCCCATTTTCATTTGCCTGAGAATTATGACAATAATGTGACAATTTACATAGCGCATCTACAAATCGCACCAGGGGGTGCCGCCAGCCACCCCTAAAAATATATAGAGATAGACAATTGAAACGAGTCCAGAAACGGAAACAGTTGCATAGGATCGGGTCAGCCAACGGCTCATCAGACAGCCAAAACTAGCTGGCAGCCAGCCAGTCAGCCAGTCAGACAGACAGACAGCGACACACACACTCATTAAAATTAAACGAGCCAACGCACAAAGCATTTTCCAGCCGGCTCTAGAGAGCAGTTCACTGCCCTACCATCGCAGTCGACCCAACTGTAGCGCATCTCAGCTGCTGGCGCAACATTGTCAACGGTTCTCAAGTGTGATCCGTATGGTAAACAGTGACGGGTAATAGTTAGTTTTTTAAGCAGCTCAGTCGCAGCACGCGCAGGACCAAGGCTCAACCCGTAGGCCAGGCGCATCACTGTTTACATTCGATTGCCACCCCAAGGAATATGTCAGCAGCAGCAGCCCACATGAAGCTGACAAGCCACGCCAAGTCAGTGCCACCTAACGCGATCCGTTAGATACGAGTTCCACTCGGAACGTGAGTTCTAATACTCTAGCAGAAGGTATAATAGTTGAATGAAGGAATTTGTTATCAAAAGGCTTGGTCTCAAATGCTAAGAGAGTATGTATGTATAATACTCTAAGAAATAATGGATATAATAATAAAATCATTATTCTTTATAAATTATCTGTTATTCATACCAAACTATTTTTATTATGCTTTTGAGATAGCCGTTTGTGATTTTATGTAGATAATATTGTATACGCGTAGAAGAATATTTCAATAGTTTCTTTAATATTATTTAATTTTGGTTCAAATAAAAATGAAGAATATAACCAAAATATATATTTAAAAAAAATATATATAGTAATATCAAAAACTTTTAAAAATAGTTTTCTTTAATTTTTGTTTTTTATAATTTTATTTATTTTTTTTTTAATTTCCCGTTTCGTAAAGGGATTTTGTGGAAATTGAGTTGCTTTAAAAGAAATACATATTAATGCACTGAATACATAGAAGAATTTTCGGCAAGGGTATTTGGCCTTCGGCACCCCAGTGTCTCCTCTAACTGGCTTAACTCTCTTCATTTTTTCTCTATCATGATTGTCGCCATGTTTGCTGTACGGCTAATCCCCGCAGCGGGCTGTCGCGCGCTTGCCGCAGACTGATGCAAATATTTTATGAAGTGTTTGAGGGTACTTCAGAAATTAGTTCCCATGTAAGCGCTTAAATTGCGCTCACCTACAGGGTATATGTAGTTGATCGCTCTCCCTTCCCAACTCCCTCCTCCTCCTCTCTCTCTCTCTCTCTCTATCTCTCTTTGGCTCTGGCTCTGGCTCTAATCTGTATGCTAGAGCAAATTGAAAAGCGTTCGGTTTTTTATCTCCCATTGTCAATGGCAGTCAGTTAACCAGCTGTTGTTTCGCCTCTTGTCAATTGTGATGTCAGTATGTCAGGCGCCCCGCCTTTCGAGAGGATAGTTTAGTGTTTAGTTTGTCACCGAATCGCCGCAGCCGCAGACTCCCTGACAGTTTTCGCGTCCCATTTGCGGATTATGCCGCAAATCCCTTTTATTTGACAAAATGGCTTCGATAAAAAAGAATTGTAATGAATTATAGGTCGCCTATGTGTGTGTGTCTGTGTGTGTGTGTAGTTGTAGTAATACATAATCATAAAATTGAAGTTGATTTTGTTGTTGCCGCATTCTGACAGCTGTCGTCATTTGGCTCTAAGGTGAGCCGTGGCGCGCTCTGGCCGGGCTCGAGCGATCGTTGTCGCCAGTTGCATTGCCAATAGCCACTCGAGAGTTGGAAACAAAGTTGCCTCTGTGGAAAGTATTAATGTTTTCTGCAGCAGTCCACCAAGTGGCTCGGCTTGCTGGCTCTACAAAATAATTTTCGAGCATTGTTGATCCTTTGTGGCTTATTCGCGACGTTCAGCGAAACAAAGGCTCTCCAAAATTGGTTTGCCAATATCCGCCACATACCTCTAACTAACAACCCCTTTTGTTTTAGCACACACTCTCTACCTCGCTCTCTGCTTCCCTCTCTCTCTTTTGCTCCTCGCTCCATATCCTGGGAGCGCAAACATATAACTAATACACTTTTCGGTGTGAGTTGGTCTCGAGTTGCTGCTGTATAGTGTAAAAGTGGCCACTTGGGTGGCTCAAGTGGCAACCTCGCCCAAATCACACGAACGACAGCTTTCCCATACGCCGTGTGTTTTGCTGCTGCGACTGCGGCTGCGGCTGTTGCTGGGCTCGAAGCTTTGTCAAAGTCGATTTGTTACATTCTCAAGTGCTCGAAGGCCCGTTACGAGCCCCTCTTCCCCCTTCTCGTTCCCTTCCAATATTTGCAATGCACTTGGTGCACGGTCGCCTCTGTTTTGGAATGCAGCACAGCAGCACAGGGTTGCCCAAATTACCGTTACGCCTCTGGGGTGGCTCGGTCTGAGCGCTCGTTATTTTGACATATGGCCCTATTGATGTTGTTGATGACGCTCCTGGTCAAAGGTGGTGCAAGCCACAGCCGCCGCTGCCACCGCCACCGCCACCGCCACCGCTGGCCTTCAAGCTGCAATGATGACGCGACTGCTTTTCACTTTTTAGCGTTGCGGGTCAACTTGGGCCGTGTTCCCAGGACTTGTACGTGTACGGGACTTGCGTGATACGATAATAGCTTCATTCACGGATGCGCCATGCACCTGATGACCACCTGCTTTATTGACCGGAAGTTGAAAAGTTTCAAACTTTTCCCGACCATCAAGAGGGGTGCCCGAATAGGTTTTTCCTGGGTTGGGGCCTCACAGTGGCTGGGGGGACTCGTGTAACAGCTTAATTAAATGAAATATTCCCTCTACTTAAATAATAGTTTATCGTCACACAAATGCATAGCTCGCCATATAATAAGCACTTCAAGGCAGCTGCGACGCCATTTTGACATTGCGTTTGGATTAGATGATGTCTTCTTTTTTTCCAGACAGATTGCGAGTTACCCTAATGAACTATCTACGCAGTCGACTAGCGCCTCGGGGCAGTGAGCGGTCGTCGGCTTTGTTATGCTAACAACAAAAAGCAAATTTAAAGACAACATCAAATGGAAAGGCAACAAATTCAATTAGGCTGCGACGTCATCAGTTGCCCCGAGGCAGCCGCAGAGGAACAGCTTCCTGCGCACAGGACTTCCTACAGTCGATTGCATGCAGCAAATGCAAGCAGTTGTGTGGCAATACTGGCAGCGCATAAGTTTCCCATACTAAGCCCCTATACCAAAGAGAGAGAGAGAGGGAAAGAGAGAGGGATGGAGTGGGTTGGAACACACACAACGCTCTGTCGTCTTGGTGGTCCAGCAAGGCTCAGCTTTTGATTGAGCATCAGAAAGTAATAATCCTCGACATGCCCATATAAAACTGTCGCCGCTGATCGCATAACACTTGTTTTGCCTGTCAATATTCGAAGCGAAATTCGAGCGAAACACTCTCCGTGGATCTCCAAAATGCGGGCAATTGCAACTTTCTTGAGGTTAAACGCAAGTTGCTCTTGAGCTCTCAAGTATCAGTCGAAGCCCGGCAGCCTTTGTTCGTTGGGATCGTCGCGATTTGCCCTCAATATTTTTCTCACCTCCAGGAGGTCCACTCATCAGCTGCCCTCGGGCCCTATTGTGCCCAACGCAGATTGTAACAATAAAAAACTGAAGATTTACGTAGACTTAGACTCGGGCATCAAGTACTTAAGAGCATAAAAGACGCTAGGATGTGCCAATGTGCCAAGTACTTTTGATTAGCAAACGCTTCACTGATTTTGATTGTCAGCTCAGCTATGGGAATCTGATCTTGTGATCTGCTGCTGATTCTCCTGCGGAGCAGCTGCTAGTGCGTTGCACTAGTTCTGCTAATAAACATCATTAGATACGTCCAAACGTCAAATTAACTAGCTAAGCGCTAACAACAATGCCACTGCCTCGGAGCCTTTGCGAAAATGCAAATCGAATTTTCCACAGAAAAACAGCCATTTGCCCACTAAAGTAAGTTAAGCTGCCGTACAGGCTGCGGGGCAGGGCCGAGGCTTAGTCTCTAGTCCATAAGCCATACAACAATTAGAATTAGAGAAGATGAATATGTGTATATATTATCTCCCTCCCGCTCGCTCGCTTATCTGTGCGGCAGATATAGGAAATTGATCTGGCGATAAATCGAGCTACTCAATTTACAAAAACAACGCCGCCCTGGTACCGCTTTGACTTCTACTGGCTGCCGTTCGGTTGGCCGAGCAACTCGAACCAACTCGTCCTGGGACTGACTTCAGGTACAACAATGAGGCAAACGGAAGCCGGATTTGCAGCTTGCGTCTTGCGGCTAGCTGGCAAGGATCGCACGGATGTTTAATATTTTGGCTTAGAGACATTCTCATTATATTTGAAAACAATGGCCCATGATGCGGCCTTGTCGACCGCCCGGCCAGGATTTGAGCGTTTAGCAAAAGGGTAATCCAGCCCATTAAAATCTATTTGCATACTCATATTTTTGTTTCGCTAGGTAATTGCGCATGGATAACCGCCTAACCAACGCAATGATCCACACAGACATCGAGCTCGGACTCGAACTCAGACTCGGACACGAACTCGGAATGACAATCGGAGTTCGGCTCACATCGAAGACCTGTCGTCGGAGCTAAGCTAGCTGAAAACCTGCCACAGACGCGGGGATACGTGTCTTTCCACACCTGCCCCGGTAAGCAGGTCTGCGGATCTGCGGCATTCGCTTACGCGAATTGCGTTAATCACGCACGTCGCCCTTCATTGAGGACGCGGATTACTTAATCAACGAAAATCTATGAATTAAAAGTGTTACCGAAAATCCGCCAGCTTCGGGCCAGATTCCGACGAAGTTCTGGCCGCAGAGCCACTTGAGCTGAAGAGCTGCAGCAGCGATTGATCTGAGCTGGCTCCGGCTTAGCCCACACACCCACCCAACCCTGGGAGGGAGTTGAAGTTCAGTCTTGAGCTGATTTAAAGCAGTTCAAGTGGACCGAACGGGCCCAAAGCTTGTGACACAAGTTAGTCCCTCGGCTGGTTGGTGGCTTAATCAAGGATTTCAATTAGAGCCAACGGCTTAGTCAGGGCTTGCTCCACATTTCGCCAGAGGAAATCAATAAGTGAAAATTTTCTCTCTTTTTATTGCGAATGCGAAAAAAAGGGAAAACTACAAATTAAGACCTAAACAATGCAAAGCCAACAATGTGCAGAAAAACGTTACTGATGACAGAATGATGAGGATTAAACCAACACAGGCGCACAGCTAGGACTACGACTGTAACAACAACAACCACAATTGCATAGAGCCTCACACACATACACACACACAACCGTCGTCGTCGCCTCTGAGTCTATTAAAAGTCTAAAGGCAGATAATAAAGGGCCATTAGGACTTAAAAGGGCTCAACAACCCAGCGGCAGCAGTCGAAACGCTTTGTGCCCTCAGAGACAACAAAATTTGTGCCGGATTCAACAGCAGCAGCACCAATAACAACAACAACAACAACAACAGCATCTGCAGCATCCAAGCAGAGTCGAGCATGGACCTTGGCAAAGTCGAAATGGCAGCAGCAACGAAGCATATTTAATTCCAAATCCCCGCAAGCATTGAGCTATGGGTGCTACGGGTTAGGGTAGGTTTTTGCACTATGCTCCTGAAACTGAATGTGTGTCAGTGCCATAGACATCACACACACTCACACACACACATATATATATATATATATATATATATATCTATATAGAGGATATATTTGTATGGATGCATTCAACATTTCTATTTACTTTGGCCAACGCAATTACAACAATTTTGCAGCAGCCAGCCAAAACGATTGGCAACTGTTTTCCTCGTTCCTTGTTTGTTCAGCCTTCAGTCGAAGGGATACTACATACATTATGGCATGCCCGGTTCCATGTGCCATTGTCAAAGGATTCAATTGCTATTGTCTGCCATGGACATAGCAGCGATCCAACGCCGCTCGACAAAGTCATCAAAAGTGAATTTTTGCTTTTTAACTTTTTGAATTCTGTTTTGTACGCAGCCAGGCAGCCAGGCAACCAGGCATCTAGGCCAAGGGCAGAGAGTCGGCCCAGTCGAGGGGACAGCGATTTGGAGCGGCCATTTTAAAGCCAACTGCCATTCCAAATTAATCCCGACTTTGGTTTGTTGATGTGGAAAAACTATGCTAATTTGTTTGATTTCAATCCCAAATGCAGCAGATCTTTTGTTCGAGGATTTGCATAATGCATTTTAGATTACCTTGACGGGCACTGCGGTTGGTCCTATGACTTTTTTGTGAGCCCCAAAGAAGTCGTTTAAAAGGTTAAATAGTTTTTAGTTTAAGATTATATCGAATGTCAGTCTAATATAAAATAAAAATAAGTTTTAATATCGAGAATTTCGCATAATTGAATTAGAAAAGAATATTCACAGTTGCCTTTTAAAAAAAATGTTTGTAAAATCTAAGATTAAAAAAAAATATATATATATATATAATTTACTTCTCTGTCTTCCGTCTTTTACTTTGATTTACAAATAGAAAGATTGAATGATAAAATGTACTTAGTGAAATTTATAATAATTCCAAGGCCTTTATTTTAAATTGAACTGAACCTATTTAGAATGATTGCAACTTTGGAAATAAAATCATCTCAATGAATTCTATGACAACAAATATCTAACATTATATTTTCATATATCACAGAAATCAGTATTATATATTTTATCTACATAAGATTACATCTAAATATACACCCGTATTCCAAGATATGAAACGATATACCCATTAAATAATTCATCAAATTGTTTTTGTTTTGAGAGTAGCTTTAGCTATTTATATTTTTATATATTTTGTATTTTTTCTATGCTAATTTTATTAAACATATATGATATGTACTAATGTATTAATAAAACTTAAAAAAAAAGTTTCAACTTTTTCGAATCACGTTGTGAAAAAGATGTACGTATAACGAATACATTTTAAGGCTCAGATCCAAGAGATTTGTAAGCTTTCTGCAGCAGTTCACTGTTGAATATTGTCCAATGGTCACTGTCACTGTCTCAGCCAGTGTAACCCGTCAACCTCCTCAACTCCCAGCTCCCAACTTCCAACTCCTCAACTCCAATTATACTTTCAGATATCACAGTTTCCAGCACTACGAAGGCACTTCAAGTGCGCGGACGCGGTCTTGCCGACGGCAATGCAAGTCCTTCCGACTTCGATGCAATTCAACTTAGAGTGGGCCTCAGATCTTGCGTTGGCTGTACATGTCCGAAATGAGACGCACAATGGTAATATCGCCAATGGTCTTGCGGAAGAACAGCTCCTCGATCGTGAAGCTGGACACCTTGTGCATCAGAGAGACGACGCCGAGCAGCGTCTGGAAGCGCAGCGGCTGGTTGGGATGCGTGCGCGAGATGTAGTTGTGGAGTGCGTTGCGGGCATCGTTGTGCATGGACGCCACCTTGTTGGACTCCAGGAGACCACGAGACTCAGCCGAGGCACTGGAGTTGGGGCTGCCGCTGCCAGTTAGTATGGAGCTGTTGGCCAGGTCCTCAGTCGAACTAGCAGCGGGCGGCGACTTGCGGAAGAGCGAAATGGCACGCAGGCACTCGTACTCCGTGCTGTCGATGTTCAGATGACACAGCTGGTTCAGAACATCCTGGAAGGCGTGCACCTCGCGGGCAACAACGCTCACAATGTCGCGATTGGAGTTCTCCGACTCGTAGACGAAGAGCAGCTGGGCAAAGTTCATGGGCATGAGATACTGCGCCATAGCCAGGATGAAGAACTCCTTCCAGGACTCTTCCAGCAGCAGCAGCTGGTCGGGCATAGGCAGCTCGGTGAAGGCGCGCACACTTTTGATCCAGTTCACGTTCTTGAAAAGATGCTCTGCAGCCGTTTCCTTAATATGCTCGGCGGCCATTAGCGGCGGCGTCGGTGGCAGCGCCCGGGTGGCCAGCGCATTCATGTAGGCGGCGGTGGGGGAGAAGAAGCCGTGATGGCCCTGGTGCACAGGGTGGTGTGGCACACGCGGCACCGAAAGGTCAAGTACGGCAGCAGGCGGTGGGGGCTGGAAGGCGGCACTCAGTGCGCCGTGATGGTGTCCACGTTGCACGCCCGGAATGGGCATCGGCAGGCCGGGAAATCCAGTCAATGCAGCTGTATTCATGAGTATCTCTGGCGGTATCTGCGGCATCTCGGCGGCACCCATCATAGCATCCTTGTACATGGCCATGTGACGGCGCAGCGTTGAGTTGCGTGGTCCGCGCTCATGCTGCACGGCATCCTTGTTCATGCCCACCTCAAAGCACTTGCGCAGTCGGCAGGCGCGGCACTGATTACGGTGCGTCTTGTCGACGACGCAGAGTCCCTGCTTCTGTGACTTGCACACGTACTGGCGAGAGCGTCGGATGCTGCGCTTGAAGAAGCCAGCGCAACCATCGCAGGCATAGATGCCGTAATGCTTGCCGGAGCTGTGATCCCGGCAGACCTTGCACGGCACATGGTACAGGATGCGACCTGAAGGAGGCAGAAGAAATAAAGTTTGAGTTAGTTTGTTTCTCTTGAATGGAGTCGGGATGGAGTTTGCTCCTCAACTATGTTAGGTGGAACCAATACTTACTGGATGCAGCTGGCGACAGCCGAACGCTGTTGTATTTCTGATCCATCATGTCTGGCGAACCCTCCGACGATTGCATACCGATGTGGGGCGTAATTTTGGCGATTTATTAGGCACAATTTCAGCAGAATAAAAGCACACACACTTTTCACTTGGCGCAATTTTCAAATTGCTTTCAAATTTATGTTCGTTAGTTTCGATTTGAGAGTTTTCAGCTCTGAAGGCTTGAGTCGAACTTCTGTTTTGGCGTACTACACGACGACGACGTGGACGAGCGAAGTGGACTCGTTGAGATCACGGATGATTGTGTTGTCTGCTCACCACCCAGCTCCTGTTTTAATAGTCCTGCTCTCAATCCTGCTGCCGTGCCATTCAACGAACAGTCGATCACCCCTAGGTAGCAGCCGCGCGCGTTTATTGGTCGTTGCGCTGCCCAGCCAGAGAGGGTTGGCCAGCTATTGTCTGCTCACTCGCACGCATTACCTCTAACGCGCTGGCTGCCGTGGCAGCGATTTATGATCCTGCAGCAGCGGCTGCCATTGCGAAAAATTCATTGAGCAGCCGTCGCTCATGCTCATTCTCAACTTTTCGCCTCTGAGATTTTATGGTCTTTTTCCGTTGAGGTTCGCTCTCAGCGTCTACCTGCCAAACGCTCTCTCTATTGTCTCACTCGCTCTCTCTCTCTCTCTCTGGCTCTCTGTCCTTTACCTTCTCTTTGGCAGTGTGACAGTTGTTATTATGAGCAGGCACATCCTCATCAGCAGCAGCACTCATGGCTGGCCGTTTATGGCGCTGGCCATTGTTGCCGCTTTGTGATTTGTGTGAAGTACCTGTGGGTACATGTCGTTTGTGTCTGTGCTGCACCACCCGAACCACGGTGCAAGGGTTGTTCAGTGCGGGGTGCTTTTAGTGCAATTGTTTCATTCATCTATTGAGCCAACTGAACTTTTATGATGTAATTGTCCTGTAAGTAGACTCTGCGATTGATTGGGCAAATATCAAACACTTTGTGGCAGCCACTCAAGGCTGCAGCTTTAATCACTCATGCCCAGCACAGCCACCCGTTATCGCGCTCTCTCTCTCTCTTTCGGCCTCTCTTTCACTTAGCCCTAACTAAGCCTGCTTAGAGTATGCCTTTTACAGAGGCAGCTCAAATTAAATTCAAGTGGGATCATTTTAATCGCCCCACGCGTAACTTAACCAACAGCCAGCAAGGTTTCCTCAGAGGCATTGGCCTAATCGCGTGCCGCTTAAGCAGATTAGAGCCAGAGGCCAGGACTAAAACCAAGACGACGACAACGACGAAGACGAAGATCAAGATCAGCCAAGGGCGAATAATTTAAAGCAAGCTTTTCACAGAGGCAAAAACTCAACAAAAGGATCAACGCCCAAGGCAAATGCTCTAGCATTATAGAATTCGGGCGAAAAATATTGTACTTTATAATGTTAAGCAAGATCCCGTAAGTCTGGTGCGATTAAAACTCGAACGCCTAGCCCAGCCTTGACCGAGGGGTTGTCAGTCCCTCGCTGCTGTTGCTGCTGTGAGAACTCGAGCTCGAGTCCGCAAATGTAAATGCAAATGCCAATGCGTACGCATTGATAGATGACGAGACATTTAAAAAGAGCAATTATATATTTCGATTCATATTACGGATGCGTAACTTGATCAATAAAACGCTTGCGATGATAGCAACAACAGCAACACCAAATAACAAATAATAAAATGAAAAGGGTCTAATTAGAATAGCAACCCCTCGAGTGGACTGATGCTGTTGCCGAGGGTAGTTGTTGATGGTGCTTAGATTGGGTGCGATGAGCATGTGTCGTGGACACCCACCCACCACCAGCGAGTTGTCCGTCTCTCTGGTCTCTCAGGTGTGCAGCATGGGAATGTGCTTGCGTGTGATGTTATTCCGATGCAACGATTCAGATCATTAGCTCATGGATGGTACAATGCTGAATACTGTTGATTATGATGCTCTAGTAAACCAGATGACGATGACATATTCATTTTTAGTATACTGTTCTCTGGCCATCGGTCAATTTGAATGATGTGATGTGACTGTGCTGACTAACTAAGGGTTTATCGTGGGAACTCAGAAATATGCATGACCTTCGCTTCAATTGATGCTGTCTCTAATATTGCTACCAGCTGCCCACTCCCACTCCCATTATTTTTCTCATTATCTAACTTTCCCATATAATTCGATCGTATAAATATTCCTG